CTGTAGGGTGGGGCTCAAAGGAGTCAGTGTGCTAAAATTTCTTCATTTTCCTTGTTAAGAATCAGAGGTGCTAGTTTCAAATCCTTTTTAGTCTGAAATCTGTATGCTAGATATTGAGTAAGGTGGTTTTATTGTTTTTTGTCACTTTGAATAATATTTCTGTTCATGTTAAAAACAAAATCAACTCTCTGTATAAATATATCAGGTGACCGTTAAAGCCCATGGGCCTCTTGTAAGATAAAAGAATCATTAAATGGGACCATGTTACAGGATAGAGTTATGCCCCTTGCATGCTATCAATATATATATATATTTAAATATGTATTCATTAATAATTATGTCCATATGTTTCATTTTATTCTAAACAGGGATCTTGCACCTGTTCCTTGTTTATTCTGAGGAGGTAATTTACTTTTGGAATATCTAAGCACAATATTCCAAGATGTATGGTCACTTCACGTCGGGTCAAGTTAGCGGATCAAGTTCTCCTAGATCGGAAGCTCCGAACTTGAAGAGTGACGAAGCAGCTGCAGTGGCAATCTTACAACATCTGAACAAAGAAGAGCTCCAAAGTCTCCTGGAGAATGATGACAAACTTCAGGATCTCATTTTAGACCTTCAACAGGTAAGGTAGTCTAGCGGTAGGACGCCGGGTTCGTGAACGAAGGGTGGCGGGTGCGAGCCACGTCGCAGCACTGTGTTGTATCCTTGAGCAAGATACTTTACTCCGCTTGTTCCAGTCTACTCAGCTGTAAATGAGATTGTGGTTGGGCAGTGCTAGAATTGTTGAATGCTAGCTGTGAGCGCCGAAATGGCAGCACCGGTTGTATGCTCCTCAGGGAGTCGGGAAAGATACTGGCTGGTTGCAACGGCCCTATAACCATAGATAATAAATTGTGAACCGCATTGAGACGACCTACAAACTAGGTTGTGATAAAGCGGTATAATTATTATTATTATGGATTCATGTGTTCTCATCACAGGTATTGTGTACTATGAAATACACATTACATGATAAATGTATGGAAAATATTGTAAAGGTAGGGAAAGAATCTCAGATGAGCCTTTGTTGTTTGAAAAATGACTGAAGTAGTGTTCTCAGATCAATAAGTTTCGAAACAGGTAGTTGACAGCTGGTTGAGCCTTCACGTACTATTATGCTTACAAGTACATATTCTGCAAGAATAGCCTGTTAAAAGTTGATGAATAGATCTAGCTATTTTTCCTTGCAAAAGAACACTTCTATAGGTGTATATAGTTTAACTTACAATAGGATTGCAGCATCAAACAGCATCACTTTACACATATCACAGCTGGACCATATAATCAATTTGCAAACGTGCTTAACCCTTTCAACACTGTAGACCAGAATGGACTCATCCAGATAAATGTATAGTAGAGTCTGCTAAAGTTACCTAGGGGTGAAAAGGTTAAAGAAATGACAGTATTATTAGTTTGACATAACAGCTTTCTAACACAAGCCAGGTATATATGAGAAAAAATAGTGATTGAATAATGACTTAGATATATATTATAGACAAGGAAATCTTTGGTCTGTGGATAAGATATAACCGACTTAACTACCTTTTGTACTGCCTCGGAATCATACCCTCAGGTTAAGATTTTCTTTTATCTGCATCAATCTTTATGAATTCTTAAATACTTTCCCCAGGTGAAGAACATTCAGACTGAACGTGAGATGTTGATGACACAGAACAGGAGCGTCGCAGAATATAATATTTCCTTGAGGCCAAAACTGGAGTCCCTTAAAACCAAACTTGCTACGAACTATGAAGAAGCCAGTAGCCTCAAGACAACTCTGGCCATGGACAAATCTAAACTAGGTATATACTTACAAGTAACAGTACAGAGAGAACAAGTCTAAACTAGGTATATACTTAACAGTACAGAGAGAACAATGTGAATTTTATATTATTTTTTGTATACTCCATAAATACATGTATTAAGTATCCCCTTACCACTACCAAAAGCTATAACTAACTGTGGGAAACTTTTTTTTTTTTTTTTGGCATACTGATTATCAAAGGTATATTCATGTTGGATAAAACAGTTTCAAACACTCGGTTACAGTTGTCCGCAGTGGTAAGGGATCCTTAAAATGAATAGTTTCATTTTTTAAACTGCTCTTGGCAAGAGCCGAGCGGCTTATCATAGAAAGTAGAATCTCCGATACTCACCTGTGGGTTACATAAAGTCTTCTGATACTCTTCTCCAAAAAATATTCCATACTTTAAATAATTGCTGAAAACAACATGTTTATCTCCGATGCTTTCTACAAGTGTTGTGGTGGTAAAATTTGTGCACTAGATTTGAGCGTTTTACTTTTAGCAACTCGGATTGAGGTCTGAGGAGTGTTACGCGTGTGAAACACCACAGACTTAGATAACAATCTAATTCCGTGGAAACACATGTGATTCGAGAAAGCACATGTGAAGACTGTCTGTAGAAGGAAGAAGTAAATATATATACTTATAAACCGTACGAGTGATGAAGTATAACCTCTATTTTGATGTTTTAAACGGGAACGTAATATGACATATCGTGCTTAGGTTGGTAACGGTAATGCCTCTGAGACGAGGCGATATGTGAACTGTGTATGCCTATCAAACATTTCTGTAACACAGCATGCTATTTCTGGTGTATTTATTTATGAAAGTGTAACAATTAAAGAACATGACACAACTGCCGCTGCTGTTTTACAAGAATTCGCGCCGTGTCAAAATATTATCCAATCCGGTGTAAGGGAAATAACTCTTACGTTGGTAAAGTCGCATTGAGAAATATATTAAACTCAAATATATTCCAAGAACATTTGTGAGATTTTGTTTATTCAATGACAGTAAATAAAGTCACTACATATATTTATAATTATTATTAATATGAATAAATAAAAATAAAAGGAGTACAATGTCTCTTTTCTCCATGCATGTTTTCCCACTAATGTTAATTATCCTTCATTTCACAAGCACAAAATGCACTTATTCTTTATTATCCATTCACCGATTGCCATTCTGCTAATTAATGAAAATTACAACAATGTGTCACATTTAAACAGGGTGAAAAAAGAGAAGAGGGAGAAATCATTTAAGTGGTGATTGATTTTGGAAATTCATAAGGCAACATGATCACATGACCTGATTGTCAATAAGCAGAATAAAGAACTCATATCTGAGGTATTATAGTAGATATTGATGCTCAACGTGTTACTGACGCACTTAAATTAAAGTGGTGAGCGGCTTTAATGTCACACTGACATTATTCTAGTTTTAATTTATTTTTTTGATAAATACAAATATTGATAACAAGAATCCCTTAAGCTTAGACTTGGTTTATCGTTACAAATTGGTTCAAATATTTCTATTCTACATTTTTTTCGTTATTATTTTTTATGTTGATTATGTCAATTGATTGATAGGTTTTACGTTCGCCTCACTATATGTCAATTATTTACAATCTGGATTGTATAGTGTGTTTTATGCTGTATTGTTGTGACAAGGGAGACAAATCATAAAACATGTTGTGCATAAGTTATTGAACAGTTTCACTATTCAGCCACTTCGGGCAGTGTTCAAACTAACATTAGTCCCGTAGTCAATCACCATGAAAAACATTGTAGGTTTATATGGGAATCACTTACTTCACAGACCAAGATGTCTATCCAGTTATTTTCTTCGATCTTTATGATTCCAAGATCAAACATAGTAGTTTATAGTGAAAAAGTGTTTATACACCTTACACCTTATACCAATGGTGTGTTAATAATGAATTCTAAGACTGTTTGGGCTGGAAGAACAGCAGAGGGTGTTGTTCTATTGATGGAATGGCTGCTTATGCTAACAACCTTTTAAAATTTTGTTCCCTGCTAATTTGTCCCCCATTCGTTCCCAGAGGGAACTATAGGTTTGCACTCTGTTCGTCCGTCCAAGAAGGACGATCCATGTGCGACATGTGTGTGAAAGTGACGATTTGTTTTCTAAAATATCAGTTTGAAGTGTGCTCCGGGCGCGGGTCGCATATTTCCCGCATATTATAGAGGGCCGAAGTTCTGACGTTAATCAACGACAGACCGATATGAAAAAAGTCGTTAAAATGTCAGAATAATTCGTGCTACAAGATTGGGTGTACAAGGACAGCTTGGGATGGCAGAGTGCAAGAATTAGGTCACTCACTGTGACATATAACTTGACCTTTGACCTTGGCTTTTGAAAAAGTTTGTCCGGGGCCTATCTTATTTCACCTGGAGTAATCAAATTTGGTTCACAAGGACATCTTGTGATGGCGAAAAGTGTACTGTTCGTTAAATATAGAAATCTTTATCGGAGGGGGACTATAGATTGCCTTACAATACTTTGCCTTGTTAAAAAAAGGTCTGAATTGTAAAATGGTTTTAACGCTGATGTAACTTTGAATAGAAAAATTGATGTGTCTTTATGTCCTGTAAAACACTGGCTGTAGCTAGGTAGTGTGATAATCAAATTATGGCTTACAGGAGCAAGCATTTCTGGATTGAGATGAACAATGAATGTTCCAAAAATATCTGTATATATTGCAAGTTTTTCCCAATCAGATATGAAAAGGTACGGGTCACCTGTCCGATCACATGGGTCACCTCCCATATTAATACCCCCCAGTGTGCTAACATCCAGGCTAACAGAGTAAAAAATTAATAATATTTTTTTTTGAATTTATTTTTTTAGTGTTACGGGGTTTGATTACATTTTCTATTCAATCTAGATGATATGAAAAATGAAAGTAAATTTAGAATGCATGCAGCTCAGGTAAAATGTAACTTGTCTGCTGTGTTGTAGATGCCTTGCGAGGAGAGCTGTCTTTAGATACTGTAAGTGTGCTACTACAAACAGCTACAGCAAAAACCGAGGAAGATGCTGAGGTAAAACAAGACGTTTATTTATGTTTCTTTTCACTGTACCACATTAATAATATGCATGGTTTCCATCGTTTTCTGTTAAATTAATTTTGTTGTTGAAAACTTTCTTGGTCCACTGGTATGTACAGCAACCAAATCTGTACACATCTGTACACGATACATGTATATAAATGATACAATATTCAATTTACAGTCAGTAAAACAAGCCTTACCTGTTTATAAAGAACTGTTTAATATTTTTTGATTGAAGTCGTCATGTATTGATGTCCATCTACAATATTTCAGTGTTAACAGTAAGCCTTGGGTTTTACCAAATTCGACGAAAACCCCGAGGGTGGAATTTCCCTGTCCTATATGGCATGAAAGAGTATTTTTTTCCTCCTTCCAACAACCAGAATAAACTCAGAAACCATGAAAATTCCTTTGGACTGAGTGCCATTTTGAGAATATCAACTTTTCCTCTGAGCTTTTGTGACAAAAACGAATCTATCAGCGAGATTTAGCATACCAGTAAAATTAATTTCATCTTTCTAACGGGTACAGCAAATATATCGTAAAAGGTTTTAAATTCATCACGTTACCTTTTCTGCATTGCAGCATCAGAGTTTTTCAAATTTGTGATGTCACGTCAAGTGAAATGGGGTGTAAGATAGAAAATTTCTTACACCCCTTTTCTATCCCTTGACAGCTCTATCTAATTACGATCATGTAAATGAGAGAAAGGACTGTGTCCTTCACACTTTCTACGATTTTACGGGGATACCAACAAGTCACATGTGGTGCCGCAGTAAGTGGTGCCGGAAATGCTTAATCTAAATTTATTCTTTTTATTTACAGGAAATTTCTGACCAATTCTTTGACCGAAAAATGGACGTGGAAACTTATTTGGAACAATACCTAAATAAAAGGACTCTTTCACATCTGCAACTAGTGAAATCACAAAAGCTCAATGAACTCATACGTGCTCAGCACAGTCAAGCCCAACAGAGCAATCAACAAACCAGTTATAACTGGGGCTCTGGATCCCAAGGTGGTAGCTACCCGGCCCCGCCTCCCATAGCCCAGCCGGGCAGTGGCGTGCCCTACCCCAGTGGTTACCCTTACCATACAGGAGGAGCTTTTCAAATGCCCCAGACTGGTAATTACAACCATAGATGACAGGGAAATGCTCATGAAAGAATTACATTTCAATCTTGAATAAAACCTATTTAATTGTGAACTGTCCAATTTTGATCATTTGTGTTCATTAGAAATGACTCCTGTACAGTATACAATTGTCATGTACTTTGTGAAAAGGGAAATAACTCCAAGACCATTTACATTGATTCTGTGTTTTAATATTTGAGAAGTTTGTGGTTCATATTATACCACTGTGTGTCATGTCTAGAATGGTTAACATTGCAAAAGTTATAGTAGGTAAAAAAGTGTTCCTCCGTCGTCAATTTCATGTATATTTTAGAATGTACGAGAAGGGGTGCAATGTTGATTAACTATTATTTTTTGCAAAAAAATTGCTTTCACAACTAACTAATGCTTCATATGATTTACTGGAAAATATTTAAACAGTAAATTTTACAGAAGCTTCACATCCAGTGATACAGTATTTGGTTATCATGTTTATCTTACTTTTGTCTGTTTATTTACAATGTTCAGAGAGGTTTTTCGGGATGCGTATGATAGCTACATGTTAACGTTTTGATTAATGTGATGTTGCATATATGTGGAGTCAAAGTTTATACAAAGGTCATGACCTGTATATGCATACTCTATGTTAGAAACATTTCACAAGTCTCTAATTTTGGCTTTCTTGGTGAGATAGTTAAATTACAAGTACGGAACACACGTTTTTCATTGCATACTAAAAAATACAACCCCCCCCCCTCCACTAACATATTAACGCTATCAAAGATTTTTTGATTTTTTTTCACAAATCAAGAAATCTGCATCAACCAAAACAAAGCAGTAAAATATCTGCTTAGTATACTTTAGGTTAAATGAAAAAAAGTTTATACCATTAATAACATACAGGTGTCATAGTTTTTAAATTCCCGTTAATTAATTACAGATTTTAATTTCAATTGAAATTTGATCAAGAGAATGAACTTTGAATCCCCGTAAATCAGCTTTGATTCTTGGGTTTGAAAGATCATGACTGTTGGACGTGTTTTTACCCTCCAAGTTTAATGGGAATTCAAATATTAGTTAACTTAAGAAATTTTAAACGTCGAAGGTGAACTGAAAAATCCTGAAATTAAGGCTTGGACTCGAAATTTGAAATTAATCACCATGGAAAAATTGTGACTTACTCTTATTGTATATAGAATATGTGTGATGGTATTACATTGTGCGACCCCTGCGGCAGGAATTTTAGTTTTGTATTTCATTATGTATTTTAAATGCATCTGTTTGCCTCTGTCTTGTGTTAAAACATAATATTAGTACATGTATTGTCTTTTTGTTACACCCTTTTTTTTTATTTTTAACATCATCATGAAGATAATTTCTTTAACAAGATGTGAGTTATGACTTGTGGCCAATATTCAGTTGCTTTTTTGATATTTTGTTTGAACATTACATGTATATTATAGGAGAATGGAGCTTGCCATCCTACCAATAGTTCGGAGCTAATTAGGTACCATTTATTCTCGTTGCCATATGAATTGTGAATCATGAAAGGAAAACAATTAGTGACACCCACTATGCAGTACTCAGCCAGGACATAAATGTATTGTATTTTTTTTTTTTTTTTAAGGAACATGTTTTCTTACGTATCCCCATAACTTAATAAATCTTTTCTGTAAAGAAACCTATACTTGTGGAACTTTTTATAAAAACCGAATAAAGATGAGACTATCAAAACGAAATCTTACAACAGTATTCAGAGATTGAAAATGCAATATTGGCAGGAAGGGTTCGGAACCATGGACTTCTGTTCGCAATACGGTCGCTCTAACCTTCTGAACTACCTAACCTGTCAGCAGTGGTTTTCTTGCCAAGTCCTGATATGGTTATATACCTGAAACGAATGTAAGGGGAAGTTACTCTGCACATCTTTGTACGTGAAGACTACAGAGAGATTCTGAAGTGGGCAGTGAGACAAGGATCCTTAAGTGATTTTTTTGTTTGAGTGGTTTTATGTCCGCTTCACTACCGAGTAGTTCCGTTATTCAGCAGACGAAGAAAAGATAGGAAAGTGAGTAGGCGGGATAAAGTATCTAGTGAAAGGATAGAAAAGGGTGAACTTAAGTAAAGAGCAGGGTACAATTTAATATTTCTGGTGTCAGTAGATGTTCGTTTGCTTAACGCTGCCTTCGTGCAAGATATTTCAGTCACTATATCATAGAGACAGATATATGATGCACCAAGCACAACTGATGGGACATCATGAAGTTAATTAACACAATTTAGAGATCGTGTTATTGAAGGAAAGAGGGATTTGTGCTGCTATTTTACTTGCTTGTGTTTTAGAAATTTGTAGCGTATTTTGTACATCTTGGATAACTTTAAAAACAGGTATTAGACATTGCCTATTAGACATTGCCTATTAGACAATGCATTATGCTTGCCCTTTAAAGAAACCCTTAATGCTTTGAATCACTAATTTTTCAAAAGTCAGTGTAGAAGCTTTCAAACTTTGAAACATCAATTTTAAAAAAATGTTGAGGTTTTCGGAGCATTAATTTTCGAAGAGTAATAGAGGACTGTGAATATTATTTTTTTCGAAGAGACAGTAGAGGCTTAGAAGTACTTATTTTCTTGGATTATTCATTTCCAGAGAAACGGAAGGAGCTTCAAATATTTTGGAGAATTGCTGGAGACTTAAGGATATTCTTTTCGTGATTTTTTCGAAGAATTGTGAGAGGCTTTGGAACATTAATGTTCGGGGGAAAGTAGAGGCTTTGCAATATTGATATTTGTTATATCATACTTTGAAATGGATCATTTCTGAATAGCCTACATTTTTTGGATATCATTCTTAAAGATTAGCAGATGCTTCGAAATATTAATCTTCGGTATTTGCAATAAAAAAATGTTTAATATGTCATTTTGAAAGTTTTTTGTTTTTTTTTTTAAATTAGGAAAACTTAATGATAAAAATTTCGAAAATTTAATGAATTTCTTTAATGCCAAACATGTCAATAAAAAAGGATATTGATTTGGAAAAAAAGTAATAATTAAAACTTAACCAGCGCCACAGTGAAAATTGTCAACGTTAAATATTTCATTTAAACCGAAAATGCCATCAACCATTACTGCTATGTTCATGCCATGCAAGTTAAGTTATATATATAACTAATATCTGTTTTCCCTTTTTTAATGTGTTATTTTGTGTTTGTGAACAGGATAATGATGTGTATTGATGACGCTATAGAATGACTTGATGATACGTGATAACAAGTAGAGTTATCGAAGTAAAATGTGATCAACATAGACAACAGGTGGTTTGTGATTTTTGTTCTCAAAATAAACAGGTGTACACCTGTAACCAGAAGTGCCTTTCAAATAGAGTATTTTTATATTATTTATATTTAAGCATTAAACAAATAATCTGTTGCGTGTTATGGTCCTATAACACGGAACAGGATTCGGTGGTACTCAGGGATCGTTAAAGAACATGATTAAATGTAGATTCCATGTGAAACGATGTTCTTCGTTGTTAACTAACTAGTAAATCAATTCAAAATTACAGAGTTTACAAAACTCTGAATCCTGAAAGGTGGAGTCTTCTGTTACAAATGCAACACCAATCACGAAAGTCAAGAAAAGTAAACATGCTATAAAGGGCTTAAGAATTCATAACATGCATATATAGTAAAGGCAACATCGGAAGTCTGGTCATCAGATAATGATGACTGACTTTTTTTGTCTGCTTACCTGGTAGAAATTTATAGTTGAGATATTTGCTTGTCAGGAAACTTATATTCCTAATAACTTCTCATGCGTTGGAAAAAAATAGGTGGTAGATTGGTTTGGTTTGGTTTTATTAGCTCATGGTGAGCTTATGCCATACCGCAGCGTCCGTCGCCCGTCCGTCAACTTTTCCTTTAAAACGCTACTAGTCCTGAACGGCCGAGTAGATTTTGACTAAATTTGGTCTGGAGTATCCTTAGGCCAAGGGGACTCAATTTTTTATAAACGGCGGGTGTGGCCCCCCTGGGGCAGAGGGGCGGGGCCCAAAAGGGGAAATAGAGGTAAAACCTTGAAAATCCTTCTTCTACAGTAGGGATTAAAGGATTTTATCCTAATTTAGTCTGGAGCATTCTTGTGCCAAGGGGACTCAATTTTGTATAAATGGTGTGTGTGGCCCCCCTGGGGGTTGGGGGGTGGGGCCCAAAAGGGGAAATAAAGCAAATTCTTTAAAATCCTTCTTCTACCATATGGATTGAGGGATTTTATCCTAATTTAGTTGGAGCATCCTTGGACAAAAGGGACTCAATTTCGTATAAACAGCGAGTGTGGCCCCTCTGGGGACAGAAGGGAGAGGCCCAATAGGGGAAACATAGCAAATTCTTCAAATACCTTCTTCTTCTGTACGAATGGCAGGATTTTGTCCAAATTTGGTATGAAGCATCATTGGGTGAAGGGGAACCAATTTTGTATAAACGATGTGTCTAACCCCCCTGGAGGCAGAGGGGCGGGCCCAATAGGGGAAATAGAGGTAAAACCTTTGAAATCCTTCCTTTACCATAGGGATTTAGGGATTTTATCCTAATTTAGTCTCGAGCATCCTTGGGCCAAGGGGACCCAATTTTGTATATGCAGTGGGTGTGGTCTCCCAGGGGCAGAAGGGCGGGGCCCAATAGGAGAAATAGAGGTAAAACCTTTAAATCCTTCTTCGACCATCGAGATTAAGGGATTTTTTCCATATTAAGTTTGGGGCATCCTTGGACCATGGGGTCTCAATTTTGTATAATTGGTGGGTATGACCCCCCTAGGGGCATAGGGGTGGGGCTCTGTTTGAATTTTTTTCTCGCTATATATCAAGTATTGGATGGATCTTTCTGAAATTTCATATGTATTTACAGAACCTACCATGGAGTGCTATATCTTTACTTCATACCAATTATTTTAAACATATTCAGGTGAGTGAAACAGGCCCTCTGGGCCTCTTGTTTTGTTTTACGTCCCATCAACAGCTAAGGTCATTTAAGGACGTGCCTCCATGTGTGATGTGTAGGCGTGATTGTGTGTGTGGGTGGGTGGGTGCAGGAGACGGGGTTTGTTGGTGTACTTGCCTCATTGTGATAGCGCAGATTTGATGCCGTTTTTATTGTGCTACCTCATCTGTGACGCGTATACTTCTTTAGTAGACAAGACTCACAAACGACCTGATACTCTGACCAATATTTTTGTCTTACAAGTTTTAAAAAGGATAGAGTAGCGACCATACTGTAGGAAAATTTCAAGATACAAAAGTGACAAAAAAAGGTTCCATGGTGGCTTTAATGTAAATTTGTTTGAGGATAAATAAGACGTGGGTATTTTGAAATCAGATATCTTCGTGGAGCCCAGATATCATGGTTTCCGGACAAGAAACCATTTCGTGGGAACATTCGTTGATTACCAGTAACCACTCAAACGGGGAATTGCTTTATGTCAAACTTTGAAGATGAAGATTCCACATGAAATCTACGAAATTACAAACCCCACGAAAACTAGTGTTTTAACAGTAATTTTCAGAATTCATATAATTCATATCAAAACTTAAACAGTTCATTTGTATAGATAAATGAAGTTCAACTTCATCAGAATACAAAAAGCAGATCGAAATGGAACAGTCTGTTGAAATATTGTTTCACAAAACAAGTGTCGATTTGCATGAAACTGGTCTCGTGCTCAAGCGTAGATTTTGTGCTCAAGTTTAATTTCTTGTTCTTGTTATAACTTAATTAAAAAATCTGTATTTGTCCATGAAGAGACTTAATTTAGGCCAGATACTCTTTCCAATGTTAACATTTGACTTTGTGATCGTTTGACAGGAGTTAAGTGAGTTGCAAAATAGATGGTTTGAGCGCAGAATCCATGCTTGAGCATGGAACGGCTTCATGAATACGGGCTCTGATAATATTTTATCTGTGCATTTCGTCTTGCTTGTACTGTTTTCAAAATAGTCTACAAACAACACAACAAGACATAATTACTTGTTTGTTCAGACTTCAGAGACAAGGGACCGATATAACATATTTATTCTAGAGGATAACACCTAATAAGTATAAGTGGTTTTAAACAGGGATTATTCAGAAACGAAATAGAAAATAGTATACAACAACGTTAATGCACATGAACAAAACAAGTCTTTACGAAGTGACCCCACTCCTGTGTGATGTAGACAGAAATCTCGTGGAAATCAACGAAATTACAAACCCCACGAAAATTAGTGTTTTAACAGTAATTTTCAGAATTCATAACCAAACATCAACAGTACATATGTATAAATAAATATATTCAGTTCAACTTCACAAGAATACAAAAAACAGATCGAAATGGTACATGCTTAAATACATAACAGAAAAACAATGGTTGATTGAAATATATTATGTCATAGAACAATTGTTTATTCAAACATCGATCATCTGATATTTTTTTTATCTGTGCTTTTTGTCTTGCTTGCACTGTTTTCAACTGATTACATTGCCAACAAGACATATTTACTTGTATGTTTGTTCAGAATTCAGAGACAAGGGACCAATATAACATATATTCAAGACATTAACACCTAATAAGTATAAGTGGTTTTAAACAGGGATCATTCAGAAATGAAGTAGAAAATAACGTTAATGCAAAGGAACAAAGCAAGTCTTTCCTAAGTGATCCCACTCCTGTGTGATGTAGACATAAATCTCAATTTAAGGGTAAGATTTGTGAGGTTAAGCGCGAAGGCTAATTCAAACATCTTATCCCGAGGGTTGATACTTCTCTGTCTGCATTACAACATACAGGAGTGATTGATTGCTTCTCTACTACACTTTCCTATCACATGAATAAGTTGTAATTGGGACCCAAGTTTACCATCCAGAACACATGCTATATGTATGCCATATTGACGACACGACACCGTCTACACTGCATAAAGTGATGATTGATACATGAAGTGTCGTTTTCAGAATAATAGCGTAAACAATCAATCCCTAGGTAAATTAAAACCAATAGAAACTATATTCCCTGTGTGATCTAGACAGTGACATCTCAACCCGAGGGTCATGCATACACTACCCAATGTAACTATAGGTCATACTCTGGGTATGTCACAATAACCTGTTCCCATACAAAGTTAATATTGAAAATTAAATAAAGGGTGATATTGAGGTATATTGATCTTATTACAAAATGCCTTTAAACTACCCGATCCATGAAAGAAAAAAATATCTCAAATTTGCTCAATGATGAATCGATATATATATATCAGATATAGAACCGTGTATTTCAATTAATTTAAAAAGCGTTATAGATTGCAGCCCTGTACCCGTGTGATAGGCAATCGACCCCGTCAACTGCATTGTAAGGTATAACAGCAGTGGTATGGACCAGGAAGTAATTTACATTCATTACGCCACTGTAGTTACCCGTAAGTGTCTATATCAGTCTTATCCTGGTAACTATTGCATGCAGTAGTGTATGTCGGTGTTTTGGTTAAACGTAAACAGGTAAGTGTCACGTTGCAGTATTTCATTTACATTTTGATCACTCATGAAAGCACGAAACTGTTACTATGACTGTGCAATCCGTCTGCTATAGATAAGAAACAACCAAATTATCCATTAAACATATATTTATTGACTTAAATTGATATTATGACTGTGCGATCGCCTCTCATATACATAATGTATGTTCAACAAGATAGTTATTCATTGTGCCTCCTGGTAATATGAATTGTCTTATTCATGCATCTTGAAATGATGGTATAACATCGACTCATGGTCATAGATTAAGGGTTCCATGGTCGATCAGGAATGAGACAAATGAAGCACAGCGAATTGTATGCAATAAAAGCTATACGCAATCACCGGTAGTCTCAGACTTCGCTCGTTTAGTGCAGTGAAGGATATTATTATTATTATATCATTAGAGCGATACCCTAAATGCACTCATGCAATCTGTGACGTCAGACACATTTCTATGGTATTGCTTATTTATCTATTTGAGGTCTGTTTGTCTCTTTAAATACAAACAACATAGACAATATGTAGACTTTTATGTTATCAACTGATTCCTATACAGGTAGGTATCGGCTCGGTCATTCAATACCCAATATCTCGATTCCGAAATCTAAACAAAGCAGGGTCACCAATTGTCTTCCATTGTAATTTTGGTATTAAATGATGCTACATGCATCCATTTAATGATATAACATATTTTGTAATGTGTATTTAATTTGTACAAAGAGAAAAATAGACATGAAATTGATCAATAGAAAATGCCACAGATATGTGTTCATCTGATATCCCATATTACACGTGTGCATTGAGGGTACGGATTTTGACTTACTTATACAATCACTCATAGCAGTGAGGATCCCCGTACCACTGCCAAAAACTGTAACTACCCATTGGAAACTGTTTTATAGCTTTGATAAATCGCTTAAGAAAATAATGTCATACCTTGCGTGATTTTATGTATTTTTAAAGATAAATTAAACAAACTGTAATTAACAGCAGTGTTTTGAGTGTAAACATTAAGTGGGGCTAGACCGAGATTCGAGTCTTTAAGGGGAGACTTCTTTGTATAGGAAAATCAACAGTGTAGTGGGACAGCGATCCTTAGTTCACTTATTATATAAATTCATTTGCAATTCAATTGCTCAATATGAACTTTTTATTGTAGACTAGCAGAACACAAATGCAATAACATAAGAATTTAACATGAAAGATAATTGGTTTTCCGTTATGAATTTTATGTTTGAGTAATGTTCTATGGTGGCTGTTCGTCTCTTTGTTGTACGTTGTGATATATAATTATTCTGTTTTGAGAAAGGGGCGGATTGCCTCGACAGCTTGACAAATCATGATTTGTCTGAACTGTCGTTATTACGTCTTTGATTATAAACTGTACACATATACGATTCGGATAAATCCGTATAATGATAGCATATACCTTTGAGACGAGTTCATCTAGCAACCACTGAATCGGTTGTCCCACTATCTAGCCAGGGTTTAAATTGACAAATTGACCTTTCTCATTGTTATCTATCCCAGTTATGCTGAAGTTTGGCAAGGGAGCCGCCAACTTTATTCTGATAATGAAGATATAGGTGGATTATCGGGACCCTGCTCTTTTTTATTTATCTAAGCTCACACATGTTCTAATTTAAACAATGCTGGTATTTTCCCACAGACTGTGTGCTATCTAGATCAATAATTCGTTCATGCGAATTGTGATAAAAGAAAGAAATGTTTACTCAAAAAAATATAAATGGAAAAAGGTGTTTTTTTTGAAGTACAAAGTAATCGCTGAATACACACAGTTAATATTATCAAATTATATTTAAGCTTGTCCGTATACACTAATTTGTATAGCCTGCCCTCTCCTGTAAGGGATTGCTCTCTTCAGTGCAGCCTCATATCGACTGTATTATGACCGGTATCTGTGCTTATCACTTCTGTCAATATCTAATTAAAATCAGGTGTAAAACACAAGCTATTGAACGTGTCATTATATTCGATATACTTCTATGTATTGATCTCAACACTGTATGATAAAAGGTTTACCACATACATCTATTTATGGATTAAAATATTTAATGTATTATTTTCTAGATAAAGAAATTGGATTGGTGCTGAACTTTTGTAACAAATATGGCTGAGGCACTTGCATGGAGGTTAGTATAGTAATTATTTTAGCCTAACGAGTTTGTTATACGTATTTATTTGTGATGAAATTTAAGTCGTTTGAATCATTTTATTTATCGATTTTTTATTTTACAAGCATAACTTGAAATACTGAATGATATTGATACAAAACACAGTAGCTGTTTTTAACTCACCTTAGTGAGCTTATGCCGTGGTGCGGCGTCCGGCGTCACTATTTTAATTTTAACAACTTCTTCTTAAAAACCAAGAGGCCTAGGGTGATGATATTTGGCCAGAAGCAAATTGGAATGAAGCGCTACCAAGTTTTTCAAATAAATGACCTTCGCCTATTTTCAAGGACACAGGGGTCAAATATGTTAAACACTTTAAACAACTTCTTCTGAATAACCAAAATGTCCAGGGTGATGATATTTGGCCAGTAGCATGCTAGGATGAAGGGCTACTAAGATTTTTCAAATGAATGACCTTTACATCTACTCAAGGTCACAGGGGTCAAATATGTTTAAAACCTTTATACAACTTCTTCTCAATTACCAAAAGGCCTAGGATAATAATATTTGGCCAGTAACATGCCTGGATGAAAGGCTGCCAAGTTTGTTCAAACGAATGACAATGACAAATATTCATGGTCACAGGGGACAAATATGTGTAAAATCTTTAAACAACTTCCTCTGAATAACCAAAAGACCTAGGATAATATTATTTGGCCAGTCAAATGCTGGGATTAAGCGCTACCAAGATTGTTCAAATGAATGACCTTGACATATATTCAAGGTTACAGGGGACAAATATGTTTAAAACGTTTTAGCGACTTATTCTCAATAAGCAAAAGGCCAAGGGCGATGATATTTGGCCATTAACATTCTGGGATGAAGGACTATCAAGTTTGTTCAAATGAATGACCTTCGCCCATATTCAAGGTCACAGTGGTCAATATATGTTTAAATCTTTAAATGACTTGTTCTGTATAAGCAAAAGGTCCAGGGTAAAGATGTGTTGCCGGAAGCATGCTGGGTTGGAAGACTATAATCTTTGTTCAACCTCATGTCCTTGTTCGACATTCAAGGTCACAGGCGTCATATGTTTAAATCTTTTCATAGGTTCTTATGAATCAATCACTGATATTCTGCCTGTAGCTGTAAGTCCACTTTTAAGATTACATGTATGAGATTAATACCAGGTGAGCGATCCAGGCCCATTGGGTGTCTTGTTTCTGTATATAAACGTGTCTTGGATACGCTTTCTCAGATTTATTTTAAATTGACTATTTTATTTATTTATATTTTTTCAGCGATGACGAAGATTCTGATGAGTGAGTACTTTTTATCTTTCAAGTAAACAATGGAAGACAAAATAATGAGTATGTATGCATGATCATTGTTCAATTTTCACATTTAAAAAGTATATCCAAACGAAAAATTTGCCTTTTTGAAAAATGATCGTATTTCACTACATGAAATTACACTATCATTATTCTTATCTGCATCAATAATACAAAGCCTTGTATGTTTGTTTCCCCCTGAAAGCAAAAGACATCAATAAAATAAAATAAAGCTGGCCGTAATTTTAATAACTTATCGACTTTATAGCCAGTGTTTAAATGACGAGTTGACCCTTTACTGTTAAAAGTCACAGTTTCTCGTGCCCTTTTAACACACAGCCGCCATTTTTTTCTGATAAAGCAGATATAGGTGAAATATCGTGACCTCAAGCTGATTTATTGAAGCTCACATGCTTTGATTTAGACGAAAAAGGTATTTTCCCACACATTACATAATCCATAGATCTTTTCATTGTGGTGGCCATAAATATTTAAGATAAGAAAAAGGAGGTTTTTAGTTTATTTTTTGGAGGGAGGGGGTGGGGGCTGG